GAATTTAGGATTAACATATATACACTATAAAATAGATATATAAAATAGATAACCAATAAGAACCTACTGTATAGCACAGAAAACTATACTCAATATCTTATAATAACCTACAATGGAAAATAATCTGAAAAAGAATATATATATATGTATATATATGTGTGTACGTATAACTGAATCACTTTGCTGTACCCCTGAAACTAATACAACATAGTAAATAAACTATACTTCAATAAAAAATTTTTTAGGGCTTCCCTGGTGGCGCAGTGGTTAAGAATCCGCCTGCCAATGCAGGGGACGCGGGTTTGAGCCCTAGTCCAGGAAGATCCCACGTGCAGCGGAGCAACTAAGCCCGTGCGCCACAACTACTGAGCCTGCGCTCTAGAGCCCACGAGCCACAATTACTGAAGCTCACGTGCCTAGAGCCCGTGCTCCACAACAAGAGAAGCCACCGCATTGAGAAGCCCGCGCACCGTAACGAAGAGTAGCCCCCGCTCCCTGCAACTAGGGAAAGCCCGCGCGCGGCAATGGAGACCCAACGCAGCCAAAAAATTAAATAAATAAATAAATTTATTTATTAAAATAAAAAGTTAAAAAAAAAGAAAAGAAAAGCCAGGGTAGCAAGGCTCTCAGCGGGAACCTAAGCTGCGGCTCTCCATCGTAAGGATCTTCAATGATCAAGGCCCAGTAGGCGGGCTGGCATGTGGGCCTCGCAGGAGACAGAACTCATCCCACTGCAAACAGAGTCAAGCAGGCCAACCCGGCCCCATGAATAAGCCTCAGTCATCAGTGGGGAGTCGTGACTCCAGAGACGGTACAATGTCTGCCACTTGGATTTGACCCCAGATCAGCTCTACACATCTAAAGACATTAAGCAAGTCACTTGGTCAAGCCCACTCACGGTGCAGCTCAGGTTCTGAGTCACCATAGACTGGGTCTAAGTCCTGGCTCTACCTTGGGTCACTGCCTTCCATTTCCTAACCTATCAAAGAGAGATGATAAATAGCACCCTCCCCATACTGCAGTAAGGATGAAATGATATGGGGTATGTCAGTCACTGGGCACTGTGCCTGGCACCAGAAAACCAGTGAATGATGGTCACCACCATCATCAAAACTGACCCCAGCAGAACAGTTAAGTTTCTTCTAGTTCTAAGAGTCCTTGACAGTTCTATGACTATGACGTTAATATCTAGAACAAGGAAACTGAATGATAAAAGTGATCAAATCAGTTTCCAGATAAAGGACTAAGGATTAATGCATTTATCTCCGGAAGGTCTGGGATGATGTCCTCCTAGCAAGCATCATTTCTTCACCACACTCACACTGCGTGCCACCATCTCCTACCGTTGGGATCAAAGCCATTTGCTCTGTGCCGTTTACAAGTTTGTGGATCTAACAAACCCGCAAGTCTGCTCCGGGAGTGTGTGTTTAGGACAGAAATGAATCACATCCCCGAGCTATTTCTTTGTCTTGGAACATTTTCCATGAAAGTATTCTTTTCATTTGGTTGAAGGACAGGATGCTCCAAATTGTGAATCACTTTTATTTATAAAATGGGATGAATGAGGTGACATCAATGAAAACGGCAGAATAAGGATGTCCGAAAAACTTCTCCTCCGTAAAGCAACGAGAACAAAGGCAAAAGCTGTCAGAATCAACTGCTTTGTGCTATTTCACATACCAGGCTGCTCATCCTTCAGGATGCCTAACCTGAACTAAAACCAAATTAATTTTAACTGAGTCCGTTTACTAGTAGTAAATAAATCATTATTAACTCATGGCATTCATTTAACACATGCATTTCAAAGGAAATACAGTATCAGCCAGTGGGGGGAAAAAAAAACTGATGTCTTGACTACTTGCTGCCAAAGCGAACTGAACACATGCATTTATCTCCATTCCTCCCCGATCAAATAAAAAAGGCACAACTATCTCCCCCCAGACATATACACCTGTACACACACACACACAACCAAGCGAAGAGACAACAGCCAACAGAGATCATGTGTTTGGGGAAGATGTGAAACGGTGTGGAGGAGTGGTCCCTGAGGTAGCAGTGTGGAGAATGCTAAAGCCCAGTGTGTGGAGACGGCCTGCTGATGAGAAGCAGGCTGATTTGCTCCACAGAATCCAAGAACAGCTCAGAAATTTCAGGCTTTAGACACCTGTGAGGTGGAGGTGAGGGTAAGGCTGAAAGCAGGAAGATTGACTGAGTGTCTTTTCCCCAGGTCCCTACCTACCTACTCCCAGCAGTCAGGTAGCTACCCTTCCCTCATCCCTGTAGGAGACGGAGGTTTTCATTTCCAGGGAGACTGAGCCAGAGATCTGGACCCAGGAGCCCCAGGCACTGTTAGGACAGGGGCTTTTACTGAAAACAGGAATTAAGAGAACTTCTAGACATAGGCAGGCACATGCCAACAGGCACATGAAAAGATGTTCAGCATCACTGCAAATCAAAACTACAATGAGGTATCACCTCACACTGGTAGGAATGACCATGATCAAAAAGTCTACAAATAGGGCTTCCCTGGTGGCACAGTGGTTGGGAGTCTGCCTGCTAATGCAGGGGACACGGGTTCGAGCCCTGGTCTGGGAGGATCCCACATGCCGCGGAGCAACTGGGCCCATGAGCCACAATTACTGAGCCTACGCGCCTGGAGCCTGTGCTCTGCAAAAGGAGAGGCTGCGACAGTGAGAGGCCCACGCACCGCAATGAAGAGTGGCCCCCGCTTGCCACAACGAGAGAAAGCCCTCGCACAGAAATGAAGACCAACACAGCCATAAATAAATAAATAAAATTTTTTTTAAAAAGTCTACAAATAACAAATGCTGGAGAGGATGTGGAGAAAAGGGAATCCTCCTACACCGTTGGTAGGAATGTAAATTTGTGCAGCCACTATGGAGAACAGTATGGAGGTTCCTTAAAAAACTAAAAATAGAGTTACCATACCATCCAGCAACCTCATCTCTGAGCACATACCTGGAAAACATGAAAACTCTAATTTGAAAAGATACATGCACCCCAATTTTCATAGCAGCACTATTTACAACAGGCAAACATGGAGACAACTCAAATGCCCATCAACAGATGAATGGACAAAGTAGATGTGGTATGTATATATACAATGGAATATTACTCAGCCATAAAAAAGAATGAAATATTGCCATGTGCAGCAACATGGATGGACCTAGAGATTATCATACTAAGTGAAGTCAGAAAGAGAAAGACAAATACCATACGATATCACTCACATGTAGAATCTTAAAAATAATGCAAGGGAATCTATATACAAAACAGGAATAGACATAGAAAACAAACTTATGGTTACCATAGGTGGAGGGGAGGATAAAGTAGGAGTATGGGATTAATAGATATAAACTACTACACATAAAACAGATAAGCAACAAGGATTTACTGTATAGCACAGGGACTATATGCAATATCTTGTAATAGCCTGTAACTGAAAATAATCTGAAAAAATATATATATATATATATATAAAACAGAATCACTTTGCTGTATACCTGAAACTAACAAAATATTGTAAATCAACTATACTTCAATTAAAAAAGAGAGAGAACTTCTGCACAATGAATGGTGAGACACCACCACCCCAGCACAGCCCGTTCCCCCACTCAGTAACCAGAACACTGGCAACCAGCTGATAGCCTAGGCAGGAGGCTGAGGAGTCATTCTGAAGCAACTGAGAAGTTCAAAAGAGAAAGCCTAACAGATACAAACATTTATGAGCTACAGAGAGGAAAAGCCAGTCCTCATCTTATCAGTCTACTGTGAAATCCACCTGGAAATAATCCCCACCTGTATTAGTTTCCTGTGGCTGCTATAACAAATTACCAGAAAGTTGGTGGCTTAAAACAACAGAATTTTACTCTCTCATAGTCCTAGAGGCCAGAAGTCCCAAATCAATGTCACTGAGCTAAAATCAAGGTGTCGAGAGGCCTGTGGTCCCTCTGGAGGCTGTTAGAATCCATTCCCTTCCTCTTCCAGCTTCTGGTGGTGCCGCCTTCCTTGGCTTTTGGCCGCATCACTCAAATCTCCACCTCCCTGGTCACATTGCTTTCTCCTCCTTTCTTAAATTTCCCTCTGCCTCTGTTTTATAAGGACATTTGTGATTGCATTTAGGGCCCACTGGATAATCCGGGATAATTTTTCCATCTCAAGATGCCTAACATACTCACATCTGCAAAGTTTTTGCCATCTGGTAACATTTATAGGTTCTGGGCATTAGGACATGGGAACATCTTTGTGGTCTATTATTTAGCCCACCACACCACCCACATACAGAGGTTTTCAATTAGCTTTTTAGTTTCTCACACTTAAGTATTAGTGAAATAAAAATTTTTTCACCTTTACTGGATATCTGAATTTCTTATTTTATGAATTGTCTATTCACTGCCTTAATCCGTTTTACTTTTCTATTGGTGTTTTTCCTATAAATCATCAAGAGAATTTTAGATAAGGCCATTAACCATTTATCTGCCATGTATGTTGAAAATACTTTTCCTAATTCACATTTGCCTATTAATAACTTTGTTTACAGTTTGTTCCCTGATGTACAAAAAATTCAAAATGCTATGTAATCAAATCTAAAACTTCTTTTCCTTTGCAATTCATCCACTGCTGTTATCTCAGAAATCAGCCTTATCCTAAAATTAGATATATGCTAATATATTTTCTCCTGGTTTTATAGTCTCAAAAGTATTTAATTCCGGCTTCCCTGGTGGTGCAGTGGTTGAGAGTCCGCTTGCCGATGCAGGGGATACGGGTTCGTGCCCCGGTTCGGGAAGATCCCACATGCCGCGGAGCGGCTGGGCCCTTGAGCCATGGCCGCTGAGCCTGCACGTCCGGAGCCTGGGCTCCGCAACAGGAGAGGCCACAACAGTGAGAGGCCCGCGTACCGCAAAAAAAAAAAAAAAGGAATCATGGCATATTTTAAACATCAAATTCATCATGAGTTAATTGTCTACCAACATACTTACAGGAGTGAAGCAGCCTGTTGGAAACCTTTGAACTGTAGAACGAAATACAAAGCTCCTATATGAAAAAAACAAAAAAAGATATGATCTTCTAAATTTATTTTTTTTTAATGTGAGGATCTTTAACATATTCCCTGTCTCTCATTAAATATTTTAAAATGCTAATCTGGGGACTTCCCTGGTGGCACAGTGGATAGGACTCTGTGCTCCCAGTGCAGGGGGCCCAGGTTCGATCCCTGGTCAGGGAACTAGATCCCACATGCATGCCACAACTAAGAGTTCACATACCACAACAAGGAGCCCACGTGTTACAACTAACGAGCTCGCCAGTCACAACTAAGGAGCCTACCTGCCGCAACTAAGGAGCTCATGTGCTGCAACTGAGGAGCCGGCAAGCCGCAACTAAGACCCAGCGCAACCAAATAAATAAATAATAAATATTTTTTAAAATGCTAATCTAATATGATGGGCATAAATGAGGTTTAAAAGTCATTAGTGTTGGGACTTCCCTGGTGGTGCAGTGGTTAAGAATCCATCTGCCAGTGCAGGGGACACAGGTTAGATCCCTGGTCCTGGAATATCACACATGCCGCAGAGCAACTAAGCCTGAGCACCACAACTATTGAAGCCCGTGTGCCCTAGAGCCCACGCACCACAACTACTGAGCCCATGCGCCTAGAGCCCAGGCTCCACAAGAGAAGCCACAGCAATGAGAAGCCCATGCACAGCAACGAAGACCCAACGCAGCCAAAAAAAAAAAAAAAAGTCATTAGTGTTGGTGGTTAAGCATGTAAATAGAAAGGCATGAGTGAAATTAGTAAAAGCAATTTAATAAGTATATAATTACCTGGAAGCATGCTTGGGAACTGGTGCAGGAATTAGCTCGTATTGTCCTGGCGAAAGCTGAACTGACTACACAGAATGGACAAGGACACCAATAATAGATTAATACAGGTCTCAAACTCACTTTATTATCTATCATTCATAATCCTTTATTTTATTACCATACAACATTATATAATTTATTTTCTATTTTGAGAGTGGAAAAGGTACACTTTCAAAGATAGAGTTTCAAAACACTCAACAGCTATTCACTTTTCATGGTGAATATTATGACAGTATGCCTACAGTGGTATGGAGAAAAATGCTGTACAATTAATCATATTTTAAATGTACTAGATTCAACAAACCCAACTGATCACCAATTAGTGAGCCTGCTCTGTTGGTAAAGAACTGTGCTAGGTATGGTGGGGAATACAGGAGTGTTCTCATAATACATAAACAATGCTAATATAAAACACTATAATCGACACTAAAAAAAAGATTGGAGATGTCGGGGATAGGGAGAGATTAACCCAACTGGGTGACCAACAGCTAACATCACATACTCAATGGTGAAAAGCTAAAAGCTTTTCCTCTAAGGTCAGGAACAGGACAAGGGTGCCTATGTCTCCATTCCTATTCAACATAGTACTGGAAGTCCTAGCCAGAGTAATTAGGCAAGAAGAAGAAATAAAAGGCAACCAAATTGGAAAGGAAGAAGTAAAACTGTCCCTGTTTGCAAATGACATAATCTTATATATAAAAAACTCTAAAGACTCCACCAAAAAACTGTTTGAACTAATAAGGAAATTCAGTAAAGTTGCAGGATACAAAAACAACATACAAAAATCAGTTGAGTTCCTATACACTAACAATGAAGTATCTGAAAAAGAAATTAAGAAAACAGTCTCACTTACAATAAATAGCATCAAAACATAAAATACTTAGGAATAAATTTAACTAAGGAGATGGAAGATCTGTACACTGAAAACTATAAGACACTGATGAAAGAAACTGAAGAAGACACAAATAAATGGAAAGATATCCCATGTTTATGGATTAGAAGAATTAATATTGTTAAAATATCCATATTATCCAAAGCAATCTACAGATTCAGTGCAATCCCTATCAAAATCCCAGTAGCATTTTTTCAAAGATATAGAAGAAACAATCCTAAATTCAGTATGGAACCACAAACAGCCCCAGATAGTCAAAGCAATCTTGAGAAAGAAGAACAAAGCTGGAGGGATCACACTTCCTGATTTCAAACTATATTGCAGAGCTACAGTAATCAAAACAGTATGATACCAGAATAAAAACAGACACATAGACTAATGGAACAAAATAGAGAGCCCAGAAATAAATCCACACAGAAACAGTCAACTAATCTTTGACAAGGGCACCAAGAATACACAATAGGGAAAGGATAGTCCCTTCAATAAATGGTACTGGGGAGACTGGATATCCACATGCAAGAGAACAAAACTAAACCCTATTTCATGCACAAATACTAACTCAAAATGATTGAATACTTAAACATAACATATGAAATGATAAAACACCTAAAAGAAAACATATAGAAAAATCTCCTTGACATTGGTCTCGGCAATGATTTTTTTAGATATGACACCAAAAGTACAGGAAACAAAAGCAAAAATAAACAAGTGGGACTACATCAAAGTATAGCCAAGGAAACAATCAATAAAATGCAAAGACAACCTAAGGAATGGGAGAAAATATTTGCAAACCATATATCTGATAAGGTGTTAACATCCAAAATATATAAGGAACTCATACAACTCAATAGCAAAAAGACAAGTAATCAAATTTAAAAATGGGCAAAAGACCTGAAGAGACATTTTTCCATAGAAGACGTACAAATGACCAACAAGTACATGGAAAGGTGCTCAACATCACTAATCATCAGGGAAATGAAAATCAAAACCACAATGAGATATCACCTCACATCAGTTAGAATGGCTATTATCAAAAAGACAAGAAATAACTAGTGTTGGTGAGGATGTGGAGAAAAGGGAACCCTTGTGCACTTAGGTGGGAATATAAAATTGTATAGCCATTATGGAAAACAGTATGGAGGTTCCTCAAAAAATAAAAACAGAACTACCATATGATCTAGCAATCCCACTTCTGGGTATATATCTGAAGGAAACAAAATCAATATTTGGAAGAGATACCTGCAGTCTCATGTTCACTGCAGCATTATTCACAATAACCGAGCTATGGAAATAACCTAGGCGCCCATCCATGGATGAATGGATAATGAAAATATGATATATATTCCCTTAATGCGTATACTATATTGGAATGTTGTTCGGCCATAAAAAAGAAGGAAAGCCTACCATTTGCAACAACATGGATGAACCCGGAGAACATTATGCCAAGTTGAATAAGCCAGAGAAAGACAAATACCATTTTGTAACACTTATATGTGCAATCTAAAAGGGTTGTACTCATAGAAACAGAGAGTAAAATGGTGGTTCCCAGACTGGCAGGTGGTGGAAATGGGGAGATGTTGGTCAAAAGGTACAAACTTTATTATAAGATGAATAAGTTCTGGAGATAGAATGTACAGCATGGTGACTACAGCTAATAATACTGTATTGTATACTTGAAAATTGCTAAGAGAGATCTTATGTGCTTTATGGCTTTGTTTTCTTGTTTTTCTTTTAATTATTTGGCTGCGTTGCATGGCATGTGGGATGTTAGTTCCACAACCAGGGATCGAACCCACACAGTAGAAGTGTGGAGTCTTAATCACTGGACTGCCAGGGAAGTCCCCATTCTTATGTGCTCTTATCACACACACACACCCACACACAAAATGGTAACTGTGTGAGGTGATAGATGTGCTAATTAACTTGACTGTGGTAATCATTTCACAATATGTGTGTGTGTGTGCATACATACATACATACATATATATAAAACAAATCATCATGTTGTACACCTTAAATATATTCGGTTTTATTTGTCAATTATACCTCAATAAAGCTGGGGCAAATAATTAAATAAATAAATCCAACTGGGGGATCTAAAGATGGTAAAGACAGTGAGATTTGAGTGGGGTTTTAAGGAAGGTAAGACTTCCTTGAGGGAGTCAAGAGAGGGATTCTAAGAAGGAGGAACACTGTAGAATCCTTCCATTTGGGGAAGGATTCTTCCCAGGATTCGGTAATATAACTCCTCCCTGCCAGCTCCTTGAACATAGGAAGTTCTGGAGGTCCGGTCAGTCTTCCCCTGGCTTCTCATTCTCTTTCCTTCCCTCCCTCCCTTCCTTCACACATCCCACTCTCTGTGCTTACCAGTTCCTGACACTCCCTTATTTCCCTTACCTCAGGGCTGATATCCACAGACCCAAGGATAGTGGAGCCACCCAGGTAGTTTGCAATGTTTCACAACGGGAAGAGAGACAGTCTCTTCTACGGTGGATTTTTCAGTCCATTAGAAATCCTATCAGGATACTCATAAGATGAATGCAGCCAAAAGACTGTCAGGTACAATATTTTTAGGTACTACTGGTGGAAATTTCATCCAGTGTGTCTTCTTTGAGAAATGGTCTCTTGCTTCACGTGGAAGTATCAGTGACTCACCACCCAGACATCTTTATGGTCTGAGAAATAGACAGCATTGGACTCTCTCAAAAAGATGCCTGCCTAATGGTACCAATGATGTTGTTCTTACCAGCATCCTGTAATTTTCATCGGCTCCAGAAACTATGTGAGTCCCAGTCCCTGAGATGTCTTCTGTATCCGTCTTTCAGATTCACTTTCATTTACCATTCTCTTCACAAATTTACTTGTGACAATCACTGCTCTGCCTTGCAGTTGCTCTATGAGAGTTCATCCTCAAATAATACCTGCTAAATGAGCCAACTTTGAGCACCATTTTTTTTTTCTTTTTTTTTGAGGTACGGGGGCCTCTCACTGTTGTGGCCTCTCCTGTTGCGGAGCACAGGCTCCAGACGCGCAGGCTCAGTGGCCATGGCTCATGGGCCCAGCCGCTCCGCGGCATGTGGGATCCTCCCGGACCGGGGCACGAACCCGTGTCCCCTGCATCGGCAGGCGGACTCTCAACCACTGCGCCACCAGGGAAGCCCATGAGCACCATTTTTGTTTTCATTTAATTGCATGATGAATTGTTCCATCTTATCTATGCTTTGCTCTTCATTATTCTAACACTTAAGTCTTCGGTTCCCTGAAGTATTACCTGCCAGCCCCCTCCTAGGCACAAAATTTCTCTCTGTTGACACCTTGCTCAATGAAAAACCATCCTGTTGAAAATTCATTCTTTCAGCCATTATTTTACCATGGAGCACTTTGCAAATAACCATGTCTTCAGAGATACTTGATCACAGCTATGAACACAGCTAACAAAAACCAATGAACCGGTTAGATTTTCTCAACCGTCATCTCCCAATCAGTTGTTCAAGGATGTCTTTTGAACACATTGAAATGGATCCTTGGATTCATTCTCTGAGTTAATAGAGGCGCCACTCCATCCCACCTACCTCCTTTTGACCTAAAACAGATACTGGGAGGTGGGGAGGGGTGGGCAGAATCACCACATTTGTATCTTTTCACATAAGTTTCATCTTCTAAGACAATGCTGAAGCTAATCTAGACAGAAGTTTGAGGCAATTTTAAATTTTGTTTAATTGTGCTTTTCATTGAAATGTCTCTAGCCTAGGAAGTGAATAAGTTTTAAAATGGAAAATGAAAAGAAATAATAGCAAAAATATTAGTTGGAAAATTTTTTGATTTCTACAAATGAACATGAATGAAAAGACTATTACTTGCACACTGAAAACAAGTCAAATCTATAGAAAGAAAAAAAAATTAAAGGTAAGTCTCTTTGCCCCCTACCTAACCTCTGCTTCCTTAATGGAAACCACTGTTAATGATTGCTTAAGTATCACCCGAGAAAACAAGTATGCATTTAACATCGTATATATATTTATTTTTATTTTTACAAATGGGATTATGCTGTAAATATTGGTCTGTTCCTTGAGTTTTTTCATTTAATAATATATCTTGGAGGTGTTGCCATACCAACACAGATAGATATACCTC